CTCTCTCTCTCTCTCCCAATGACCTTTAAATTAGAGATCTCTCTAAGAATTTACCCAAATGCTTTAAGATCCCACCCTCTCTCTCTCTCTCTCTTTCTCTCTCTCTCTTTTGTTCACCCATGCTACTAATATCAAGATTATACCTAAAACCCTTTCTCAGTCATTACCTTCAATTTAGAGGGCTCTCCATGACCCCAGACCCAACCCACCTCCTCAGAGTCTGCACCATTCTTTACCAGCAAAGGGACTCACCAAACTCAAAGCTTTTCCCTCTCCTCAACTCTTCATGTGACCCCAAAACCCTAACCCTAGAATTCTTCATCCAAGTCTGCAACAAATTCCTCTTCTCATGGAAACCACCCTTCAAGTTCTTCAGGTACACTCAGTCTCACCCTCAAATCGCTTTCTCTCACACACCCATTTCATGGAACAAGGTTCTTGACATTTTAGGCAAGTCTAAGAACCTGCAACTCATGTGGGAGTTCCTCGAAGAAATGGCTCGAAATGGAATGGCAAACACCAGGTCTTTTGAGATTTCTGTCATGGCTTTTGCGAGTTCTAGAGAGATAAATAAGTGTATCGAGACCTTCCATCTCATGAATCAGCATGGCGTGCCCTATAGCTTGGAGACAATGAATAGGGTGGTGGGCTGTCTCTGTAAATTGAAACTTGTAGAGGAGGCACAAACCTTAATTAGGAAGCTTGATCCATGGATAAAGCCTGATTTAATCACTTTCAGGATTTTACTAGTTGGGTTTTGTGGGGTTGGGAATATAATCCAGGCTTCGAAGATATGGAATTCAATGGTGGATCGGGGGCTTGAACCAGACGTAGAGACTTGCGATGCCATAATTGATTCTCTCTTCAAAGCCGATAAAGGGGTCGATGCCCTGAAATTGTTCAAATCGATGAGTTTCAGAGGACTAGATGTTCGATTGTCAACTTATAGAGTTGTGATCAATTGGCTATGCAAAAATGGCCAAATTGGCGAAGCCCAACATGTGTTTGAAGAAATGAGACACAGAGGCTTGGAGCCTGATGACTCCATTAATGGGTCTCTGGTTTTTGGGCTTGCTACTAGGCATAAGATCAGGGAAGCCTACAAAATGGTCGAGAGCATAAAAAACCCTAATTTGACTGTGTACCATGCCTTGATCAAGGCTCTAATAGGTCTAAAGAGGCCATGTGAAGCCACCCAAGTTTTTAGAGAGATGATAGAGAGAGACTGTGAGCCCACAATGCACACATACATTATGCTCTTGCAAGGGCATTTTGGGAAGAGAGGGAGAAAGGGGCATAACCCAGGTGTTAATTTTGACACTGTATTTTTGGGGGGTTTCGCAAAGGAAGGGAGAACATGGGAATTCAGTAAGTTCATCGAGAGAATGGTGTATGAAGGTGTGGAGGTGCCAAGGTTTGATTATAACAAGTTTTTGCATGCTTTTTCAAATGAAGAAGGGGTGAAGATGTTTGAGGAGGTTGGGAAGACGTTGAAGGAAGTGGGCATGGTAGATGTTGGGGACGTCTTTTTGAGGTATGGAGAGAAGATGGCTACCAGAGAGAGGAGGCGGAGGCTTAGGCTAGAGCACACTTAGCTCAGGTCGGGTCGAGGTGGAGGCTTAGGCTACAGCGTGTAATCTGTCATAGAATTTGGCCTGGAATCGTTTTTTATCGAGGTTATGCTTAAAGGCGTGGAGGTGCATGGGAAATTAGTAAGTTCAAAGAGAGAATGGTGTGGAGGTGCAAAGGTTTGATTATAACAAGTTTTTGCATGATTTTTCGAATGAAGAAGCGGTGAAGTTGTTTGAGGAGGTTGGGAGGAGGTTGAGGGAAGCGGGCATGGTGGATGTTGGAGATATATTTTGGAGGTATGGAGAGAAGATGGCCACCAGAGAGAGGAGGCGGAGGCTTTGGCTAGAGCACACTTAGCTCAGGTCGGGTCGAGGCGGAGGCTTAGGCTACGGCTCTTCATCTGCTATCTCCTGTGTGTCTGGCTTCCGCCCGGACGCAGGAACTAGACTCGGCGAGCCCCTCAAATGCCTAAGTTAGTTCGAATAGAATTTTCTCGGAAAGGTCAAAGAATTCTTTCACCCACCGACTATCTTCGCCGTAGCGAGCTTTCCCGTGAGGAAAAGGGCTGTCATCACGTGTATCTGGTCTAGGAGCCAACTAGAGGGACGAATAGTCCAGTTCTTCCTGCGTCCCACTTCTATATCATCCATCTCAACCATCGTATCCGCCCATCCATACTAGTAAGAATTTGGCCTGGAATCATTTTTTATCGGGGCTATTCTTGAAGTGCTTGGATGGTATTTGTGTTAAACGGATGCTTATCTTCTACTTAAGATGTGGAGTCTTTGGCTGTTTTTAAAGTCTTTCAAAGTTATATCTTGCCCTAAAACTAACATGAAAAAGATGAAAACTGTGGGACATTATGTGAGACGTGGAGAATTCAGCAACTAGCGAATATTGTAGGATGCGGCATGCCTTGCAGATACCTTGGTTTACCTTTGGTAGAGGATAGACATCACAGATCAACCTGGGACTGGCAGTGGAGAGATTTCACAGGAAATTGGAAACTTGGAAAGTTGAATATCTTTCACTTGGAGGGAGAATAACTCTCATAAAATCACCATCTCTAATCTCCCGTTTATTTTATGTCCGTATTTTGCAGCCTTCCTCAATTGCCAAAACTTCAGAGATTTTCTTTTGGGCAATTTTGAGGGGGACAGCGGAAATACCTTAATTTGGGAGAAGGATATAGCTCCTAAGAGGCAGATCGGTTTGGTAATTAGAAGACTTAAAACTCATGAATAGCTCGCTTTTGACCAAATGGTGGTGGATATTTTCTTCACATACTACTGGCTTGCGGAAGTAAGTGCTAACACATAAACAGTGGAACAATCCTAGAGCTTCCGCCTTGCGGATAGCCTGCAACTTTGTAGTCCTCTTTTATTATTGAAGGTAAACATTCTCTAAAAAAAGAAACAGTAGAACAATTGTAGGAGATGAGATGAATACTAGATTTGGGTCTGATAAATGGCTGGGTGACCCGTCTCAAATTCCAACACCCTAGTCTGTTTTAAAATGTTGACAGCACAAATGCCTTCGTTTCAAACATTCAAGTGCCACTAGGAAGCCAACCCTTTTGGAACATCATTTGTAGATACAGAAGGGTGACTGACACGGGGACTAAAGAATTTTAAGATCTATGGGGGCTACTAGAACAATTATACTTCTGCCCCAACGGAAGGGATCAGACCATATGGGCACTTACTCGGAGGCCAATTCATAGTTCATCCCTTTTTAGATAGCTATATAATGACCACTTGCACCTCTATGAACCTTGGCAGAATAAGGGTCCCCTCCTGTACCCCACAAAGTGCAGGGCATCACTTGGATTATACTGCAAGGGATGCTAGTAACATTCCTAATATATGTATCATGTGTAAATCAGATGAAGAATCAGCCAATCATTTATTTTTGCATTACCACTAATCATCAACATCTGGTCGTCGCTCCTTAGGCATGGCAGTTTGCAACAGGTTATCCCTTTTGTAATTCAGTTCCTCCACCAATGGCTCAACCTCCCCTCCCTAAAATGGGAATCACCATTTTGGAGGGTACTTATGGCTGCAACCCTGTGGATTTACTGGAAAGAGCGGAATAAATGAATACTTGAGGATTCATCATCGTCTCAATTTAAGATTCACGATCTCATCTCAGCCATGGCAGCAGAATGGGTTTCTACATCAAAGGTGGGCGGTGGGTATTGCACGGACTGACATTATACACACTTCTCAACCTGTGCCCGAGGGTAGCCACCAGAAATCATCTTTGGTTCCCCCTCCATTGGGTAAATTCAAATTTAACTTTGATGGGTCATGGGAGCTCCATGGGGAACTCAGGACCAGTAGGCTGTGGTGGGGTTATCACATACTCAAATGGAGCAATAGCACTCACATATGCGGCCCCTTTACCTGCCTGTTCAACGAATGAGGCGGAGGCAAGAGCTGGGCGAGGGGAAACCAACATATCCCATGGAGACTCTTTCACATTTTTTATCGCATTAGGATGCGTTGAGGTCCACGCACCACACATTTGTGAATGCAATGAGTTGGTTGACTCTCGTGAGGCAAGGGACTGCCCCCTCTTCATTGCTTATAACTTTATTCTCATATACATAGCATTTGATGTCTCTGTATTTTGGTGGTTGTAATCTATGAAGAAGATCATTACCATTCAAAGAAAGAAAAAGGAGTAATAAAATAACCTTTTTATATTTTTATTACTTTTAGCAAAAGAATAAATGTAATTTAAAGCGGAACAATCCAACTTGACATGAACTGGGATAACTGCTCTGTCTTTTCTGGCTAAGCTTCCAACTCTCTCTCTCTCTCTGTCCACCAAGCTTTCAACTGCTCTGTGTTTCTGTGAATTCAACTGCACTCTGTCTCTGTGAATTCCAGGCATAGTCTTTAGTTGTGGACAAGCATACAAGTCTAGTGCATCTCTTGTTTTTGCATTCCTGGAGAGAGAGAGAGAGCGGGGGGCCGTCATAAGATTCATTCCCTGTGACAATTTGGTTCCTCGGAGGAACAAGATTGCAAATTAAAGGCAGCAAAAAGGACGCCAGCACACTTCATTATATGATACGTATGTGATAATAATACATACCCAAAATAATCCTATTTTCATCCCAATGCTGTTACTTCTATTAGTTACAGAGGTAAATAACTGTGAAGATGGCTTGTTGCTGTTTTATTTTTGATTGGCACATAGTTCATTACAAACCCCATGAATTTATAGGGATTTTACACTTGATTTCTCTGTGCAAGCTATTAATTTCAAACCATGATTGAAACAAAATCACAAGGTTATTGTGGTCTCAATCAGAGCTGGTAATCCACAGCCTTGTGGACAAATTTCCGTCAGCTCTCTTTCAATGGTTGTCTTTCTACAGGTTCCAATCCCGTGCGCGCGCGAGAGAGAGGAACTGTAAACTGATTAACTACGGTCTTAACCACAGCTGATAGTCTCCACCCTTATCGACAAACTTCTGCCAGCTTCCTTCCAACTGGTTCTCTTTTGAAGGGTTCCAATCTAGGTGGCCAATCTTCATTAACAGGGTATCACCAATCTGGGCTACATACCCTTCATTGTTTGCATGGTAGATTTTCACAGAACTCCTACAATGAATTCCAGCCCTTGATCTGGCTTCGATTAGCTCTGTTATGACATCTCGGAGGCCAAAATCATAGAAGTGGTCATAGAAGATGACAGGCTGCATGAGGCAAAAGAGGGAATGTGCTAAAGCAAAAGTTTGTTTCCATAGCAAACAGTAAAAGCATTGGTTTTGAAGAATTAACAGCAAGGCTAGCAGTTTTAAAAGGGCAAGCAAGGCCAGACTTTCGAGATATTAACAGAAATGCTAGCAGTTTCAAAATGGCAAACAAGGCCCCAAGTATCGGATCCAGTGCAGGGAAAGAGAGACAGAAAGAAATGATCTTATTGCTCTCAAATAGCAAAAGAGGCTCTTGTATTTTCAGTCCATTCCTAAAAGCTGGTTGTGTAAGCATTATCAAACCAATCTTTTTCTGTTAAAAAGGTTTAAAAATGGTGTCACTTTTGTGACTTCGTAAAAATGAACCATGTCCCTTTTCATTTATAAATTTAGAGAGGAAGAAGGGAGAGAAGGATTAGTTAGAGTTTGAAAAGGAAAGCCAGAATCAGATCTTAAAGCATTTATTCCTAAAGTTACATGTCAAAAGTGAAGTTTAGGAAGGACAGCGAAACAGATATCAATGCATTTATTCACAAATTCCATGTGAAAAGCGGAGTTTAGGATGGACAAAGAAGCAGAATTAAAGCATTTATTCCCCAAATTCCATGCAGGAAGCGAAGTTAAGGATAGACAAAGAAGCAGATCTAAAAAGCCTTTATTCCCCAAATTCCACATGAAAATCCAAACTTAAGGGACAGCAGAGAAGAATGGATGAGAAATTACCGTCCCAGGATGCGTTAAAATATAAGCATATCCTTGTGTGAGCTTCTCGCGTGGAAATGGCCAGTGCCCCTAAAACAAAAAAATAGAGCAACGAAAGGGAGAAAAGGTTCAGTTTATTTGCACAGTCAAAGGATGCTCATCAGAGAGAGAGAGAGAGAGAGAGAGAGAGAGAGAGAGAGAGAGAGAGAGAGAGAGACGTGTACGTACGTACGTACGTACTACGTACGTACGTTACGTACGTAACGTAACGTACGTACGTACGTACGACGTACGACGACCGAACCCG